CGCGCTGACAGCCACAACACGGCGCACGTGCCCGCGCGGCGCCCCGCGATGGCGTCGCGGGCTCCCATTGGGCGGCGGCGCCGCGGGCTCCGCCCCCCGCGCGGCGCGGAGGTAACGGTCGGGCAGGGGGCGGGGCCGCGCGGAGCAGCGGGAGGAGCGATGGGAGCGGCTGGAGCGATGGGAGCAGCAGGAGCGGCCGGAATGGGAGTAGAGAGCACGGCCGGCGCCTCGGGGGMGGCTCTCGGGCTGTGGGAAGTGAAGTGCGCGGTTTGGAGGTGCCGAGGGGGTGGGCAGCAATGGGAACGGCCTGTCTAGGGAGCGAGTGGTCCCGGCCGGGTGCTCGAGCCTCGGTGTCTGCCGAAAGAAATATCCATCCTCCTGTTCCATGGGTCTGTCACCTCCCTGGGGCCTTTGGCATTGCTTTCCTTTCCCCCAAGGCTTCSGCAAGTTACAGTTTTCCCAAGCAAAGTCTTCCTAAACCCTAAGCAAGTTTTCTAGCCTAGGTTTGTTCCTGTGCTAGATTGGTATCTTTGTTACACTGAGAAAAGCCACTTTGTGCCATTTTGGTGCTCCTTTCAAAAATGTACAGTCCTGGAAAACTGAAACCTCCCATCMCCCTTTCCTGTCCTGTAATTCTATATTTTTTGTATTAATATTAACCAACACAGTGGTTCATGAACACAATACTCTTTTTTTCTTATAACCAGCTTTTATTATATACAGCTGGAAACATTTGGCAAATGAATTTAATATATTTCTCCCTTAAAATGCTCTTCATCCCAAAGTAAATCCAAATTAACTAGAAAAAATGCCTTAATACCCATCTGCATTTCACTTTCTTCTCCTCAGAGGACAGACAGTTCACACACTTGTATTTCATTTGGGCAACCTCCTTACTGCAGATTTTGAGGCTACTTTTACTTGTGTTTAGTGGGGTTATCAGTCGTAACAAAAAGCTATAACGATTTATGACTCCGTTGCTATCTCAACTGGCCTTCTTAGGGCCCCTGATAGTTCAGGTGGTTTCAGAACACTGAAAAACATAACTCATGTGGGATCATTAGATTTCCACTAATTAAATTAAACTCTCTTCTAGTCTACCCAGTGCACATTCCTCCATGTGATGCCTCTTCCAAATCCTAGCTCTATGCTGTTCCAACCTCTATCTGTTGTTTTAACCTTGGGTTCAAAGTTTTATGATGCCAAAAAAAATCATAGATCCCTAGACTATTATGGTTTGGAAAATGAATCCCAAGAAAGGATTGGTGACAGTTTATGACTGCGTGAGCTTATACTTGAGCAGAATTATCTCTAAATCTCTGAGCTTTTGCTTTATGCCTGAGTGTTACAAACAGAAACTAATTACGTTACGGTTTGTCCAACYTTTGAGGGAGACTATCTTGTGTTAAAAGGTTTTAATTCAATTGTTTTCAGCTATACAGTTAAAGGAGATGTTCCTTCAAGGAAACAAATGGCTTTTTACTTAATACAGTATAGATTGCAACTARTTCTGCATACTTCAGTGTTGAAAAAAAATATTACTATCCAGAAGACAAAATGAGGTAATCAGTGTAAAGCATAGTGGATAGATGGGAAAGAAAACTTTTATTAGTAGTTTTTATARTTTTTTATCATATGTGCAAATCTTAAAATTTTGTGAAAAAAAAAAAACCCAAAATCAGTACTAAAGATTCCCCACACACTTGAAATCCTGTTTTGTGTTTTTGTAGGGAAACCCAGGAATTAAGATTTACRTGAGTCTTACAGAAGAGCTGTCCTCTGTCCTCAGCCCAAGCTGTTATTTGCTTGGGAGCAGCCTCTATTTCCAGCTGCAACTTTTTCTGCCCAGTCTTTCCACAATTGCTTTGTGGTTCTGTGTGACACATGTTAAAATCTGTGTTCTGCTCCTACAGCTTCTTTCTCCCAGTATTTATGGTGCTTTTAACTAAATTACTTTCTTTCCTCTTCCTCATGCTCACACAATTAAAACAAGCAAAGTACAGAAAGTTCTGGTGCTTCCTCTCATGCAGGGCCAAGATCAGGAGAGTGTTACATGGTCAAGAAAACAAAATGGGAACAGAAATAAAGGTAAATACTGTTGTTGTTGAAGGGGTACAACTCCCTACATTTGCTTTATGACAAAAAAAAAAAAAAAAAAAAAAAGCCTGGACATGCTTTAGAGCAAAAATTTCTTTGATATCTTGTTGACTCCACTTCTGTATTTAAAAAAAAAAAAAGTGATAAAAATCCTGGTTAATTGTAGAGCGTGTTCACCTCAGCTTGCATGAAGCGTTAAGGCACACATACTCCAGGTGCCCCTGGGTGCCTGTCACGGGGGCTCTGCAGCCTGGTCAGGCAGTGCCAGCTCCRGCTGTAGCTACAGCCACTCACGCTGTCCRKGTGCTTTGGTGCCAGCTCCGGCTGTAGCTACAGCCACTCACGCTGTCCAGGTGCTTTGGTGCCAGCTCCGGCTGTAGCTACAGCCACTCACGCTGTCCATGTGCTTTGGTGCCAGCTCCGGCTGTAGCTACAGCCACTCACGCTGTCCATGTGCTTTGGTGCCAGCTCCGGCTGTACCTACAGCCACTCACGCTGTCCATGTGCTTTGGTGCCAGCTCCAGCTGTAGCTACAGCCACTCACGCTGTCCGCACGCTTTGGTGCCAGCTCCGGCTGTA